ACAAAGGTCCCTAGTTGCGACAAAGTTAGAAGACTGCGGTTGTGTGTCCTATTGTGGGACATGCAACTGGCCCCTTTCCCCGTACAAGAAAAATGGAAGCCGAGTTGCGACCAAGTTATAAGACATGCAACTGGCCCCCCTCTCTCGGCGCCACCTCCTCCGACAAAACAAATGTCCCCAGTTGCGACCAAGTTAGAAGACATACAGTTGCGTGCCTGTTGTGGGACAAGTAATTGGTGCCTCTCCCCGTACAACAAAAATTGAAACCGAGTTGCAACCAAGTTATAAGACATGCAGTTGCGACCATGCTGGAAGACATGCAATTGTGTGCCTAGTGTGGGGCATGCGACTGGCCCCCTCTCTCTCGACACCGCCCCTCCGACAAATCAAAGGTCCCTAGTTGCGACCATGTTACAAGAGATGCACTTGCGTGCCTATGTGGGACATGCAACTGGCCCCTCTCTCTCAACGTCGCCCCCTCCGACAAAAAACAAAGGCCCACCCAGTTGCGACCAAGTTAGGCCCTGTTTGGTTCATAAGTCCTAGGACTTTTTTAGTCCCAATTTATAAGTCACAAGTCCCTAAAAAGTCCCCACCTGTTTGGTTCCTGGGACTTATAAGTCCCTATAAGACCATATTACAACTATAAGTCCCTATAAGTCCCTCCTTGAGAGTCTTATTTCATAAGTCCCAAATGCCCACTTTAAGTCCCTATAAGTCCCTCCTGTTTGGTTTAGATGGGACTTATAGGGACTTTTTTAAGTCCCTAAGCCAATAAGTCCCTGGAAACAAACACCCTCTTAGAAGACATGCAATTGCGTGCCTGTTGTGGGACATGCAACTGGGCCCATCTCTCTCGATGCTACCCCCTCCGACAAAAACAAAGGTCCCCCAGTTGCGACCAAGTAAGAAGATATGCTTTTTCGTGTCCTAGTATGGGACACGCAACTGGCCCCTCTCCTCATATAGCAAAAAATGAAACTCGAGTTGCGACCAAGTTATAAGACATGCAATTGCGACCATGTTGGGAAAAGACATGCAGTTGCATGCCCAGTGTGGGCCATGCAACTGTCCCCCTCTCTCTCAACACCGCCCCTCCGACAAATCAAAGGTTCCCAGTTACGACCAAGTTAGAAGATATGCAGTTGCGTGCCTGTTGTGGGACATGCAACTGGCCCCTCTACCAGTACAACAAAAATGAAAACTCGAGTTGCAACCAAGTTATAAGACATGCAGTTGCGACCATGCTAGAAGACATGCAGTTGCATGCCTAAAGTTGAGCATGCAACTAGGCTCCTCTCTCTCTCTCTCGACGCCGCCCCCTCCGACAAAAACAAAGATCCCCACAGTTGCGACCAAGTTAGAAGACAAGTACTCTGAACTTAATCCGAATCAAAAAGATCCCCTCATATCTACTGAATTAGGCACACAAACATTTCAATCACTAAAAAATTTGGACAAAAAATATCCCCTCAGAGTCTATGCTTCAATCTAGTAATCATTCTCTTATATTCCAGAAAAAAAAGAGAGTTTTGAACATGCTATTGATTAATACAGTTTCAGCCAGAAATATGACAAAAACAAATGAACATGCCCCCTCCTACCTAGTGACATATTCAGTAACAAATCTTTCTCTTATTACAGGGGAAAGATTTCAAAAAACATGCTACTCATTAATAAAAAAAGGGTTCCATATGAAAAATCTGAAAAAACAAAATAAAGATACCACACTCTCTATTGATAGATTCAGTAAATTATCTCTATTGTTTCTATTAAACAAAAATAGGGTTTCATTAAAATCTAAAAAACTAAAACTAAAACAACAGACTAAGCCACTCCATTCAAGAAAAAAATAATCAAAACATACTACTGATTTCACAAAAAAGCTACTCATTTTGATGGGTTTGGGTTCAGTAATATATATGAGGGGGGTGGGGTTCAGTAATTTCACAAACATGCTACTGATTAAGAATAGGGTCCCATAACAAAATCTGAAAACACAAAAGAAGATACCCACTCCCCTAATGATAGATTCGGTAAGTATCTCTCTTGATTCCAGTAAAATAAGTAGGGGTTTCATTAAACAATCTAAAAAATAACAAAAACAACAGACTGAGCCACTGTATTCCACAAACAAAAAAGGAATCCTCAGCCATTCTACTGATTTCACAAAAACATGCTACTGATTTCAGGGGGGTTGGGTTTGGGTTCAGTAACAAAAAATGAGGTGGTCTGGGTCAGTAATAATCCTCAACACATACAAAAAAAGAGGACATTCTACATATCACTGCTTGAATGGAAAAAAGGATCGATTCTATGCTTCAAATCAGGTCTACTGCTCTCGCCCAACAAAAACAAGAAAATGGAACCCAAAACTCCCTCAGATCTACTACTCTCGTCCAACAAATCAAATGGAAAAACAAAGATGGAAGAAAAAGAGGGGGGTAGCACTTACTCCATCAGCAGCATCCCCCATCTCTGGTTGGACGTTGAGCAGCACAGCAATTCCTTCGTTTGCTACAGAGATC